GCTGGGGGATTGAACCTCGGTCCCTGATGCTTTGCTAAGCTTGTTCTAAGTACGTGCTTTAGACCACTGAGCCATCTCTCCAGCCCCAATGATTTTTGTTGTTGTTGTTCTGTTTATGTTTCTTTTCTGCATGCATGCAGTGCTGCAATTCCAACTCTTTGACTAGAGGATTGCAAGTTCCTAGCTAGTCTGAGAAATTTAGTGAGAACTTCACTTTAAAAAAAAAAAAATGATAGCAGTATAAGCTTATTACTTGAAATTATGAGATGCGTAAGTCCATTAAAAAAAAACAACAACGGGGGCCTTCCAGTTAGCTCAGTTGTTTAAGCACCTGCTTATGCAAATGCAGTCAGGAGCAGGATACCGCAGTTCGATCCCCAGCTCCACATGTGCCTTACCAGGCCCACCCTCAAGGCAGCCTGAGCCAGCCTGCCCCCACCAAAAAAAAAAAAAAAAAAAAAAAATCTAAAAATGCTGAAAGTGATTCCTGCTGAGAGGTGGGTGGGGTGGGGAGACCGGATGGGCATACAGGTGATCACTTGATATCAAATGCCTTTAGAACAGTGCATTCTCAGGGCCTGCTGAGTAGCTCAGTGGATGAAAGCACCTGCAAACAGGTGCAGGGCGCCCCCACCCCCAGGGCGCACCCCACCCCCACCCCCAAGGCACACTGAGACCTGAGACCCTTTCCTCAAATGCAAAAAACAAAACAAAAAACCCAGTGTATTCTCTTTTCGTTGTCTTTTGCTCTTTTATGCAGTACTGGGGATTGAACCCAGGGGGTTTGCACAGAGCTACATCCCCAGCTGTTTGATTATTTTCGGAATCTCTCTTCACTTGTGATCCTCCCACTCAGATTCCAGAATTACATGTGTGTGCCACAATGCTCAAATAATGTTATTTTTGTTACAGTTTTGTTATAGGCAGGGACATGGAGGACCAGGTTCGTCAGGAGGCTGGAAACCAGCAGGCAGTCTTGAACTTCATCCTGAGCTCTTGCTGTCACTGTTTGCTTTTTTCCACACCATCCCCCAGGTTGTCTCTCTCTGTCTCACTTGTTCATCACTGAACAGTCACTGAGCATTGACTACCTGGTGGTGTGTGACAAAAACATTGCCCTAGGTCATGAGAGACAGGGCATTTGTGTGAAACCCTCCAGCAACCAAAGTCCAGCTTCTCCACTTTCTGGCTGTAATACCACTAAATTCCTCTACCTCTCTGAGGCAGTTTCTGCCTCAATTAAAAGGGGGGAAAAGTAGGAGAACTGAAAGAAGTGTCAGCTCAACAGGTGGTGGCTTCATATTGCAGTTGTTTTTTGAGACAGGGACTCACTGTGTAGTTCAGGCTGGCCTTGGACTTACTGTGCAGCCCAGGTTGATCTTGAACTTTTGGTGATCCTCCTGCCTCAGCCTCCTGGGTGCTGGGATTACAGGTGTGTGCCACCATTCCCCTCTCATCTTTTTGCTTTGGATGGTCAACTTATGCACAAAGGATGCCCCTCCTGCCGGTACCCAGGACCCCAGTTCTCCTGTCTGTGCATTTCATCAGTTCGTGGGTGGGCACATGACACAGACACACCCGTACTCACAGAGGACCTTACACCAACCGAAGCAGTCGTTCAAACTGTTCTTTCTGCCTCTCCTTTTCCACCCAGGGTACCTTGCAATTCCCCGGCATTAGTGAACACTCAACACTTGTTGCTTTTAATGGGTGCACAGTTCTCCAACATATGGACTATTATCTTTTTTAAACCTGATTGACATCAGTACTGTCACCCTGAGAACTTCGAGGACCCAGGAGGACACAGAGATCACGTTGGCGCCCAAGGACTGTTCAGACCCAGAGAATTCGCTGTTACCTGGGCTTCCCATTCACCACAGACAGGACTGTGATGTGAATTAAAAAAAAAAAAGAAAAAATCAACTAGTAGTCTGAAACCATATTAGGACAAAATAAGATAACGCGGCCCGGCACCTAGATGGTCTGTTAGACTCTCCCAGCCCTGACAGACTGTGCCAGAGATAACCTGACCCGGTTCAGTGTGACAACCAGCCCTACAGCCTGTACTTTCTCCCCCTGAACATATCCTATTTGCTAACTTGTTTCAGGGGCTTTCTGCCCAGCGGCAAAGGATAACTGATGATACCCGATAACATTCACCACGCTTTTAAGCTTTCGTGTCTCTCGCTTGTAAAGCCTATACAAACGAGGCCCACAGCCAGCTCTGGGTGGACGCTTTGCGAGCGCTCCCTCATCAGCCCGCCCGAGTAATAAAGCGATAAAGTCCTTGATGCCCAGCGTCTTCCATTCAGTTCGGTACCGCGTTCCGTAACACAACCAAGGGGGGAAAAAAGGACGTGGGTACCGAAAAAGCAGTGCCGAGGCGCAGATCAGCTAGCAGCACACCTAAATCATACCGAGGAACGGCTGCCTTTTCGAGGAAGCCACACATCACACACCAGCAGCACCAAACACAACCAAGGTTCTGGCACCATCAAACTCAGAACCCTTACCAGATCCTCCCGGACTCGGCACCTACCCACAGGGCAGCCACCCGCGGGAATCAGCCAGTCCTCACCTCCTTGTGAACCGCTTCTTAGCGCCAGTCCGTGTATCAAGGTTACCGAGGTTCCTGTTCCTTTAAGGGGGCCGAGCCGCGGATCGGTTACTTCCGCCCAGAAGCAACATGGCGCCGGCGCAAGAGGCGCTGTTACCTGAAGGCGCAGAGACGGATGTCACTGAGCGTTGGCTTCGTCTGGCCCGCCCTGCGCACGCCCGAGGTGACGTCATTTCCGGGGACGGAGCCGCTTAGCGGCTAGTACGAGGCTGGCTAAACTTCGCGCCGGGGTGTAGCTCCCGAATGGGCGCAAAGAGCCTGGGTGAAGGAGTCGGGTGAGGAAAGGACGCGTGACTTGTCAACTCTGGAAGACCATTCAGACCTGCCCCTCGCTGCCCTGCCCTGCGTCACACATCCTCGTCAGTTTGGGCTGTCCCCCGGGCTGTCGTCCTTGGACTCCCGGGACTCCCGAAGCCGCTGGCTTCCGCCTTTCTCCCCGCCCTCCAGGCGTGGGTCGCCGAGGTCCCACCCCCTTCTGGGTGCTCGCCCCGGGACCTTTCGCCTGCCTCCCTCTGACCCCTCGGCTTCCGCCCGCGTTTGCTCCCACAGGTTCCGCCTCGGGGCGCTCTCCTTGCCAGCAATTTTTT